GGTTGCTGCTGCTGCTGCTGCTCCTGCAGCAGCTGCTTGTTCTTGGGAGGAGTGGGAGTTGCAGCAGCAGACAAAGGGAGCTCATGCTGGAGCTGCAACAGCAGCAGCAAATGCTTCTGCAGCAGATGTGCAGGGCAGCGAGCAGCAGCTTCGAAAGCGGCAGCCAAGCGAAGGGGCGCAGCAGCAGCAGCAGCAGCAGCAGCAGCAGCAGAATCAGGCAGTGCCTCAGTTGTTGCTCCACGCTAAAAGCAGCAAACAGCACTGCCGTTCGTTGTACGAGCAACAACAGCGGTTGCTTGCGGAGCAGCAAGCGCTGCAGCAGCAGCTGCAAGAGCAGCAGCAGCAGCAGCAGAAGCACAGCGAGCAGCAGCCGCAGCAGCAGCCAAGCAGCAGCATGGGACACGAGCTGAGGAGCCTTTGGAGCGCTGCCGACCTCAGAGATATCATATGCATGCTACTGCCACAGCAACAGCAGCAGCAGCAGCAGCAGCAACAGCAACAGCAACAGCAGCAGCAACAGCAGCAGCAGCAACCAGTCGGTCAACATCGAAACTCGCAGGCGAGGAAGAGTCGCAAGCAGAAGAAGCGACAGCAACAGCAGCAGCACCGACAGCAGCACGAAGAGCAGCAGCAGCAACAGCAGCAGCAGCAAGACCAGCAGTCTGATGAGGTTTCTGACCTGTGGCTGCAGCAGCTGGGGGTAAACGGAGCCCCAGAGAAACTGGTAAGATACTCTTTTGCTGGTTCTCAGCTGCTGCTGCTGTTGCTGCTGCTGCTGCAGCGGCACCAGCAGCACGTGTTTGCGTGCTATTGGCTCTGCTGCTGCTGCTGCTGATTGTCAACCCTTGCTGCAATTCGTTGCTGCTGTTGCAGATGCTGCTGTTGTTCTTCACTTTCTTGCTGGACCTCGACGAAGCAAGCTGCGAGGAACAGGTAAGACCACACCCGCAGAGCAGCAGCAGCAGCAGCAGCAGCAACAGCAACAACAGCAGCAGCAGCAGCACTTACAAATGAGTGTCGTATACGTGAGATGCGTGTTGTAGAAGACCCTCTGGGGTTTAGCAGCGGTGGCTGCAGGCACAGTGACACACGCAGCAGCAGCATAGGCAGCAGCAGCATAGGCAGCAGCAGCAGCAGCAGCAACAGCAGCAAATCTGGTTCCACAGCAAGCCAAGCAGCGGCTGTAGTGCATGCACCTTGTGTGTTTGTGCAGCGCGAACTGCCTTCTTTCATAAGTTCCCTTCTGAGGCACCGCCTGGCCCCACTGCTGCTGCTGCCCTCAGCAGCAGCAGCAGCAGCAGCAGCTGGAACGGAGTCCGCAGCAGCTGCTGCTGAAACAGAGACTGCAGCAGAAAGCAAATCTTCAACTCTTGCGCAGCAGCAGCAGGGCCTGCTTTCCGTTGTCCATGCGGTCCTACACCAAGGCATACGCGAGGCAGCAGCAGCAACAACAGCAGCAACAGCACCTGCTACTGCTGCTGCTGCCAAGAAGCAAAGTCGAGGCCGCAACGGCGCGGACCACTTAATATTTGCAGCAGCACAGCGCCGAATCTTGCTGCGGCTGCAGGCAGCAGCAGCAAAATGCTCGCAACGTCGTAGAGAGGCCTAGGATAGTGGCAGCAGCAGCTGCTGCAGTAGCAGCAGCTGCAGCAGTAGCAGCAGCTGCAACAGCAGCAACAGCAGCAGCAGCGTAATGTTTAGATTACTGCGGGCGGTCTTGTCAGCCGCTGCTTGTGCTGCTGCTGCTGTTGCAGCTGTGTCCACAGTGGCCGCTGCAGTGGCAGCAACAGATTCATGCCCATTGCTGCTGCTGCTGCTGCTGCTGCGACCTTTAGAAAAAGATCAGCAGCAGTAGTAGCAGCAGCAAACTTGCATGTATGCACTCCAGACTACTGAGCGTCAATCGCCTCAGCTAACTGGCTGCTGCCTATTTCATTCATTACCCAGCTAGCTACCTAGCTAGCTACTCAGCTAGCCACTCAGCTAGCTTCTCTGCTAGCTCCTCAGCTAGCTAGCTACCCATCCAGCTACCCAGCGAGCTAGCTCAGCTAGCCACTCAGCTAGCCACTCAGCTAGCTCCTCAGCTAGCCACTCGGCTACACCCAGCTAGCTTCTCAGCTAGCTCCTCAGCTAGCTACCCAGCTAGCTACTCAGCTAGCCATTCAGCTAGCTCCTCAGCTAGCTACAACTACTCACTTGGCGCTAGGGCAGGCCTTGCGGCGAGAAGTTCATTGAAGACTTCGAGGCTACCAAGGCGTTCAGTGTGGCTCCGCGGGGCAGCCAGCTAGCTAGCCAAGTGGCTAGCTGGGTAGCCAGCTAGCTGGCCAAATGGCTAGCTGGGCAGCCAGGTAGCCAGAAGGCTAGCTGGATGGCCAGCTAGCTGGCCAAATGGCTAGCTGCGCAGCCAACTAGCTAGCCAGCTGGGCAGCCAGCTAGCTAGCCAGCTGGGTGGCAGCTAGCTAGCTGGCCACTGGCCAGCTGGGTGACCAGCTAGCTAGCCAAATGACTAGCTGGGCAGCCAGCTAGCCAGCTAGCTGACTAGCTAGCTAGCTGGCCCCCGCGCCGCTGGCTGCGCAGCTAACGATTTAGGCAGCTGCTGGGCTGGCAAGTACGCGGATAGCTAGCTAGCCTGCTAGCTAGCTAGCTAGCTAGCTAGCTAGCTAGCCAGTTGGTGTTTGCTGCGTCATTGTCGCTTTTGCTGCTGCAGCTGCTGGACTCCCTAGAAGCAACTTAGCTAGCCGTACGCAAAGACAAGATAAAAACAGCAGAGACAAAAAAGCGGCGCGCAGCAAGCCGCACAAGCTCACACACAACTAGCCCAGCCTGCTGCAGCAGCAGCAGCAGCTGAACTGCAGCAGCAGCAGCAGCAGCAGCCGCCGGCGGC